TAGAACATATTAGTCTTGAGTAAGTAGTGTTCTAGGACATATTAATATATTAATATATTAATATGTCCTAGAACACTGCTAATGGTATTAAAAATTCGTTAAATATTATTCGAGTTATTTTGCAAAATATTACAACTGAGCGTGATCAATATCAGAACTTATTACATGATTTAATTCAGTGAGTAGATAATCTTAAGAATCAGTTTACTGATAGTGAAAACTAGAATTTACAGTTACAATATTTATTAGATGAATCCTAGGCTCAAGCAGAAAGAATTACGCAGTTACATACAACTACCTTAAATAATAAAACAGAAGCATATAGAGAGTATTAGCAATTGGCTCAAAATAGGCAAGAGCATATTGGCAAATTGTTACGTGAAAATTTTGTCTTCTTACTATTAATTTAGCATAAAGATACTCAAATTGCTGAGCATAGGAGAACTGCATATAGATAAACTGTATGCTATAATAATGATACAGAATGCTAGAGAAAAAGACATGCAAGTTGTGTTCGCCAGACACAAAATTGAAAGGGATAATATAAGAATTCGCAGAATCAAATTCAGGCTCGTGACCAGAATATTTTAATTTTACAGGGACAAATTTTGGCATTTCAGAATAACACACCTAATATACAATATTTAGGTATGGCAGGATATATACCGCCAAATTTTAGTGAAAATTATGATGAAGATATCAACTATTTTATCAATAAATTTAGAAGGTATTTAACCACTTCTGGGAACAATTTGGCAAATAATACAGATAAGATCAGCGTACTAGGTTTTTTTAAGTTATGCTTAAAAGGTAAAGTAGGTGAATTGCTTAAAAGAGAGATAGTAGGTAAAAATTGAGAATTATCCAATATTATCTCTACTGTAAATCGTATTTTAACACAATTATAAGGTAATGAACAAGCACAAATTGTAGGACATTTATCACCTACGGTACTAGCTGGACTTAATGCATAATTTGTAATAGCTGATGCTAGTGCTGGTATTTTAGTAATTCCTAGACATACAGTTTTCAATAAAGATTGGACATTAGCAGGAGGTAAGCCAACATCTAAAGTTATGTGTGCACTAAATGCAAATTTGCTAAATAAAACAGTTGTATTAGCCAATATCACTCTTAGGCAATTAATTTATTACTTTAAAGGAAATTATCTCACAGTTAGGCAACAGTATCAATAAGCATTATTTGGTATAACAGTATAACAGTGCAAGAAAGCGATTCTGTAGGCAGTGTTATCATAGGACATTAATGGGACACTGATGGGACATAGATAGGACAGATAGGACATTTGGGACATAGTGTGGGACAGGTTGGAATATATAGCTAGGACAACAAATCTCTGGAACATCAAAAATGTACATCACTGTCTGTAGATTCTTATTATACTAAACTTAAGAAGATTGCAAGATATACTAATATGGAAGATGATGAATTCTGCCATAGATTTCTTGAAGGACTTTCTCTAAATAATCAAATGGAAGTTCATCATATGGGCTTAGTAGACCTATTGATGAAATCCTTTCATCTTTAGAAGAGATTGAGAGATATAAAGCTGAATTAGTCTCTGGTACCAACCTTCTTTTGCAATCCCAACAATACATATAACCTTCTCAATCATATCCGTCGGCTGAGGTTAAAAAGTTAAAATCTAAAATAACCTCCCTATAAACCCAGTTAGCTAAATCAGCTCAAGTATACTTCCAGAATGATGAGGCTTTAGAAAAGATGTATATATATGCAGTACGTTTGGGAATGCTACCTGATGCACTAAAAGATCTTACATTCCTAGATAATTATATTAATGACGAATTAATAAGGAGATTGGATATTGCTAATGTCAACTATGCCAAGCTTTCTAAATAAATGGTTAATGTGATCAAAAAGATAAATAAAAGTGGCTGTAAACCTACTCACAAAACTTCTAAAATAAAGAAAAAAAAATCAAAAAATAAGTCTAAAAAAAAAAAAATCTAAAAGTAGTCAAGTCTATATAGCTAGAGTAGACGAACAATCAGATTCAGATTCTTCTAATAATAATACTTCTTCATTGAAGTTTGAGGATAGCTCTTCTAGCTCTGAGAGTTCTTCTTCTGAATCAGAGTCTGAGGCTGAGACTGATGCTAAAATTAATATTAATATATCTCAAACAAAAAAAAGTAAAGAAAAAGCAGGTCCCAAAAGGATCGCATAGCACTATTACTTTCTCGCGAAAGAAGAAATCAAAGACTTGCAAGTCTCATAAGATAAAAGATATAGAAACTCCTTCTTTAGTATTGATTTTTATCTTTAAGAAGGAAAAGCAAAGCTCAAAGTCCCTGTTACAGGACAACCAATTTTACCTAGAAAAAATTATTGAGAAAATTATTGAGAAGGTGCTTAATAAAAAGTTTGGCACTATTACAACCCTCTTTCACCTGCAAAATGGTGATTCTAAAACACTGGCTGATTCTAGGGATGATGAGTTCATTAATGATCCTATGGAAATAGATTTCGTTCAAAGAAAAGAACCCATCATAGATGTTGTCACCATTAAATATAAAATTAAGCGTCTAGTGATTCTAGCAGACACAGTTGATCCTAGTGCTAATTTTCCGATTATGTCTGAGAATATATTTAAACGATCAAAACTAGTAATTGATATAAAAGAAAAATATGATCTCAGAGGCATTGCTACTACTTCTACAGAATCACTTGGAATTGTTAGAAATATTTCAATAAATTTTGCTTCTAGATGTACTATATATGCTGATTTTGCTGTAGTTAAGTATCCTAAGCTTAATGCTGATCTTATTCAACACACTTTTCGATAAATATAATTATGATTTACTTGCATCAAAGCGAGAATTGAGACTAGAGTGTAAGAGTAAGAAATTTTTTATCCTAATTAATATGTATAAGGTCAAGAATAAGTTCAAGATAAATTGCGCGAGCATTACTCCTTAATGTGATACTTCCTCAATCTTGGACTATATTTCACAGGATTTAAGCGAAGATAGTACATTAAAAAATATATGAGTTATGCTTTAGCGCCTTTGACTGAGAGTATGATAATTCGTATAAAAGAACTTAAGAAGAAGCTTTCCATTGCTCTCAAGTTCAATACAGAAATCATTGAGTTTTACAATAGTCTTTTTAGGAAATAAGCAAGTTATTTTCATGATAACACTTCTTTTTCTCATCTAAAATTTTTGTAGATTTTTTAACCATATTCTCAAACAATACATCCTTCATTTTTTCATTATTTGCATCATTTTTCGAAACCTGATTTGGCTGAATTTGAATACTAGATGGTGTTAGCAAGGCTAACATGGATTTGAACTTTGATTTCTTTCCTCCAGTCTTTCTCGCCTTATTACCTAAAATAGAATCTCCTTCTGAAGTTAGATCAATAGATTTGCTAGGCTCGACCTTAGTATTGTACATCACATTTTCCAGTGCTGTGATCGTAAAATCGTATTTATTTTAAAAATCAGCTTTATTCTGTTTATCTATAACATTTGTACTTAGGGGACTATTACATCATTCCATTGAATCCTATTAAACTCTTATCCTCTTCAAATTTGATATAAATGACTATTTGATATTTTATATTTTTTACTTAGCTGAGCTAAAGGTTTAGGCTTCATATCTCAGTCTTGCATAATATCTTTATAATCTGCAGGAGATAAGTAACTAGTCCTAGAATTAATATATGTTTTAAGAGGAGGTATAATCATATTAGTGGCTAATCACTAGAGATTTTTTTCATTATAAATAAAAATGTAGAAAAAAATATCAGTAATACTGGTATTATGCTAGTATCAGTAATACGGTAGTATCAATAGTATCAGTAGTATCAGTAATATGCTAATATCAGTAATATAGTAGTATCAGTAGTATATACAGTATTATGCATAATATCAGTAATATGCTAGTATCAGTAATATGGTAGTATCAGTAGTATTCATAAAATAATAAAATACTTCAAAGATTTTTCTGCACATTTTTTTATATCATATAACCATGCCAAAATTATGTTCAATGTATATATATTAAAAGATATAAAAAATAGAGGACATCAGCTGGGTAGTGTATATGAGCAAGAGCTCGAAAAAATTAAGAACCGCTATTGATTTTAATTCTAAAATTATTTATTTTAATAAAAAATTGCAGGCTGAAAATTTAGAGTAAGAAAAGAAGTTTCAGCAAACCTATGCTGATATTGGAAATAAGATTAGTCAGTTAAATGCGTCCATTATTAAAGTTAAATTCCAACTTATTTCTGAATCAAAGTCTCATTCTAAGAGTCAATGTGAGTTTAAAGCTAAATATTCTACCAAAATCAAATTGCTCAAATCTTCTATTAAAATACTAAAAAGAGAGCTAACTTTGGTCCAGAAAGCTTCATCGGCTAACAAGGTCAAGATTCTCTCTTTTGAAGCTAAAGTACGAGAATTAGAAAGTAAGTTAGAGAACATAGATCTAGAACGTACATATCATGATTTAGATGCAATAGGAGGGCTACTAGAAGAGCTGGTCTAAATAAATACATCTGTATAGATGACTCCAAAGAGATCAATTCTCTCAGACTTGAATTAAAGCGAGCAAATGAGAACCTTAGTTCAAAAAAATATATAATAGAATGTATGTAAAAAGGAATAGAGTTCTCAAATAGCACATTCAAATGGAAAATAGATATTTAGTCTTTAGAATGATTAAAATTAATGGAGAAAAATAGGTCTCTTAGAAACCAGTTAGCATTAAAGAAAGAGCCAAAAGACGCTTCGTATAATAAAATAGATTTTCCACCCTTACCTATAAATAATTCATCACAACCTTTCACTCTTAATCTATTATCTCAAATAATTTCTATAAGTAGCGCAGAAGCGATATCTTTACCAGCAACTGCTCCTATAATCATAAGCTCCTTGATGTCACTGATAATAATATATTCTATACTTACCTTATTACTAATTGCAATTATATGGATTGTGGTCGGGAAAAAGCTATGGAATATATGAAAAAAAAGTGACTAATATATTCAGACTAGCAATTTATATCTCTAAGTATATCTGAGGCTAGGCTATATGATCAGAGGTCAGAAGAGGTTACCTCGTGACTAAATCAAATATAAGAATTGAAATTAGCCAGTATTATTACATAAGAAAAAATATATAAATAATATTGTAAGTATTTTTAGTTGAAATTGTCACACCTCCGTTAGAATACTTAATAATATAGTTCAATGATATCATCTAAATCCACTCAGATGAATCATCTTTTTTACCATTCTATAACTTTGATAACGTTCAGTAGCATATGATTTCTAGGCCAACCACTTTGTACCATGTGTTTCAGAAATCTGCTAGTAGCTTATACTCATCCAAATAATATGATGTTAAATATTGTTTTAAGGATAATACTCATTTCTTAGTAACTAATTTATATATACTGTCTCTATACTCTATATTAACCTCAGAAATTTCTTTAAGCAATAATAAAAGTTTTAAGCAGATGGATTCTTCTTGCTTATCTAATATATTGAAGAATGATTGGTAATAAGCATTCTTAGTCAGGTATTCTTCTTATTAGCATAAGTAATATCAAATATTTTTTTCACATAAATGTGTTTCCTTCTCATAAATAAGATATAATAGTTTTATCTTTTTTTGGACCTTTATGTAGGTTTTTGATATACTTCTTAACCTACTTTTCAGCCAATTTTTGTGATAAAGCATCTCTTATTTTTGATACCTCATTTTTATCTACTTCGTCTTCATTCTCTTCATCTTCATTCACGTCATCTTCATCTACCTCACTGTCATTTGCTTTATTATTACCCACTTTATTAGCATCTTTTAACTTTTTAAAGTCTCTATTACAATTTTAGATGATGGCTGGTATCTATAATCATAGTTTACAGTCAACTCTTATTATAACGAATTCTATATCCTAGACCTCAACTTCACTATAAGGCTATAGTGAAGATTTTAAGAGATTTTATTGGCCAATTCGTTATAACAAGAGTATTTTTATTATATTTGTTCAAAAAATTCATTATATCAAGAGTTCACTATATCAAGAGTTGACTGTATAAATCGCGTACAGAGGCCAACAATGGTTTTCAAATAATAGTTAGCATCAATCTTCTTACCAAATCATCTTATCACTTCTAGGTACTCTATTTTATTACCCACCCTTTCTGATGAATTATTTTCAACTACAACATATTCAAACCACTCACCTGGTTCTGGGATTTTATAAAGATAAAGCTTAGATGTTAGACCTTTTTTATGCGCCATTTGGTATCCGCTTCTTTATAGGTATATCTATCTCGCATTCGTAAAATGAAATGCTATATATTTTTATTATTTTTATTAGGCCTCTACACAGCAGTTTTAATCATTTCATTAAGATCTTTCTGTAAAATATCATTTATAGTCTTTTTGATCATGTCTTCCACAACCTGATGTAAGATATGTATATTATTTACTCTTATAGATTCTTCTATAATACATTTTCCTATTTTTCAGAAAATACTAGACTACCCCGCTTTACAATTTCAACTTTCAAAATAAAAGGCTTGTTATTAAAGTTTGGCTTACTTTTATGTAGAATGCTG